CCACTCGTGCCACGGAAGCTGGCTGGGTGCCCGGGGCCAGTCTCACCCTCTTGGCCTAACCTACCTCACAGGGTTGCTGTGAGGAGAAAATGGAGGAGAGGGGAAGGATGTAAGCTGCTTTTTTGGGGGGAAGACATGGTAGAAATGAATCAAATGAACAAAAAAAAATCATTGTTAGCCTCTGGAACTCACTGCCACTAGAGGTTGTGGTGATTGCGAGCTTCCGTGGCTTCAAAAGAGGATTTGACAGGTTCGTAGAGGGCAGCTCCATTGATGGTTACTACTGATGTGGCTCAATAGGATCTGAGTGTGCAGAGGAGGACGTTCTGAATGCGAATCCTGGGGGGGCAACACGAAGGGAGGGCCTTGGCATCTGTGCCCTGCATGTTTGGGCCCTGTGGTGCATCTGCTGGCCCACAGTACGAAACAGGACGCAGTCGAGCCTTTGCCCAAATCCTGCATTGCAGCTTTTATGTTGCTGAATATTCCCCTTGGACCTAATGGGACCGAGACGGGTTTAACTGGGGCTGAGTCGGGGTTAAGGGGGGGCGCGGAGTCCCGTAGAGGACCTGAGCCAGCATTGTATACCCCCCTTCCCTCAAAATAATTGTCTTCGAGCCGTTGTCGTAGGCAAAGCTACTTGGCATTCTGGCTGTCAGGCGTAATTGAAATGCATTTCCTTCTCTCCCGAAAATCTCAACCGAACCCTCCTCCCTGGAATCGGCTTACGGAAACAGGGATTTATCCTCCCTCATTTGGATGCCTTTTTTTTTTTTTTTTTTTTTTTTTTTTTGTGACGCAAATTTTTTCTCTGCCAAAACGACCCCCAGGCTATTAGCCACAAGGTATAGATAGGGGCTCTGGGGCAAGTGATGCTCTGTCTTCTTGGTGCTGGGGGGGGGGCAACAGTGGGAGGGCTTCTAATGTCCTGGCCCCACTGGTGGACCTCCTGATGGCACTGGTATTTCTGGCCACTGTGTGACACAAAGTGTTGGACTGGATGGGCCTTTGGCCTGATCCAACATTGGCATCTCTTATGTTCTTATGTTCTTATGAAGATCCAGGTTCGAATCCCCACTCGTGCCACGGAAGCTGGCTGGGTGCCTGGGGGCCAGTCTCACCCTCTTGGCCTAACCTTAAATCACAGGGTTGCTGTGAGGAGAAAATGGAGGAGAGGGGAAGGATGTAAGCTGCTTTCTTGGGGGGAAGACATGGTAGAAATGAATCAAATAAATTTAAAAAATCATTGTTAGCCTCTGGAACTCACTGACACCAGAGGTTGTGGTGATTGCTAGCTTCTGTGGCTTCAAAAGAGGATTTCAAAGGTTCATAGAGGGCAGCTCCATTGATGGTTACTACTGATATGGCTAAATAGGATCTGAGTGTGCAGAGGAGGAAGTTCTGAATGCCAGTCCTGGGGGGCAACACGAAGGGAAGGCCCTGGCATCTGCTGGCCCACAGTACGAAACAGGACGCAGTCGAGCCTTTGTCCAAATCCTGCATTGCAGCTTTTATGTTGCTGAATATTCCCCTTGAACCTAATGGGACTGAGACGGGTTTAACTGGGGCTGAGTTGGGATTAAGGGGGGGGGGCGGGGTCCCGTAGGGGACCTGAGCC